CGGTCCCGCCGCAAGGCGCCAGGCACGTGCTGTGACCAAAACATCTCCAAAGAAAGGCTCCAGCGCAGCGAAGGGGACAGCGAGAGAGGGAACCCGGCGCTTCCTGGGGGTTTGTCCCATGGCCAATCACCCGCATGTTCCTCATTTGATGCGTCTGACCTCAATGCCCCGCGGCTGGTTCTGCCTTTCCCCACCATGCCTGAAGGGCTTTTAACCTGGAAGCACTTACGGGCTCTCACTCGGGCTTCCTGAGAAGCTGAACAGATGAGCTCTGTAGGTCTCACTCTCAGGCAGTTTTCCAAGTCCCCAGGCCTGCAGCAGCAGGGCTACTGAAGACCAGGAGGGAGGGGCACGAGCAGAGTGGGTGAGCGGCAGGGGCAAGAGGCTGAGCTAGCCTGGCGGGGAAATCCATGGGTTTACCTGCAAGCACACATTCCCAAAAGGCACCAGACCCCACGTCCAGCCAAGCTCTGGTCCTACGGAAGCCTAGGGCTGGGCTACATCACAAGGGCAGGCGTAAGTCCCTCCGGCCTGTTCTGTACCAAAACACAGCCAGCTGCCACCACATCCCCTCCTGGCCTGGTCCCAACCCTCCACCCCGGAAACCCCAACTGACTCCCTGGAGCAGCTGGCCAGAGGGCCAGGAAACAGGAACTACGCGAGCTCCCAGCCCAGGGAGCAGTTCTCCTATTCCAGCCCATGAACCCAACCCCCGAGTTCCCGCGCCAGCGCTCGCCCGCCTGCGGCAGGAAGACCGAGCTGGTGTCCTGCAGGCGCCGAAGAACGTTCCAGGCTCTTCTGCCCAGATCGTCAGCACCGGGCTGTGACACTGAAGTCTAGTGCTCAGAGCACGTACTGTAAGGGGCAGCCACTGGCAAGGGCCCCCCATCCTACACCAGAAAGGTGCTCCCCTGCTCAGGCAGGATGGGCGCACGGGCTTATTACTGTGACGCCACAGAACAGAGAGGCAGGGAGCCCCCTGCTCCCCGGGGCCCCCAGCCTGTGCCCCGGGGG